CTCTCTCTCTCTCTCTCTCTCGATCATATTGGGGCCCGAAGCAACAGGCTTGTCTCCACAGGACCAAAGGATCTAGTGTTATTTAATCTGTATCGGAGCCTCCTCAAGCCTGCAGATCATGGGCTGCTAGGGAGTTCGTTCAATGGTGTCGGCTTTTCAAGAGGTTTCCTTGCAATCGGTTTATGGGGTTTCTGTTCCCTCTCTAGATTTGAAGAACCGGAGGCGGAAACTTGGGATGTCCTTTATTAACAGTGCTTCCTATTTTGGGGTTCAGACATCTGAAGCCCACGTTCGGTTAAGTGGAGCAGGCATCGGGTTTGCAAGACGGCTGAGGTTGTGATTCATCTCCGACGTCGGGGCATTTTGATATTCAGGAGGGTCGTGCCATTATTCAGAGCTAGAAACCACAATTTTCCTGTTCGGGTTCATTTTGTGCGACGTCAGTCTGGTCGTTCTCTATTGGTTGTGGTCGCTTTATTATGAAGTCCACTAGATGGAAGTGAATCAACAATGCAATGCTTAATCAGGCCTAATTAAAGATTACAACAGACGGGATCAAGCTGCTATAGAAGCTTTAAGGGTGCATTCGTAGATATAGTGTTTCCCGCCCACCCACCTGACAAAGTCTTGCCGCACAAGGGAGAGATGGATGGGTGGCTAAGGGTATGGACATATAGATAACCGAATATGGGTTTTTCTAGATATATACCGACACTTGTATTGATAGAGAGATAAGTGCTAGATAGATGGACTTCGCAAAAGTTCACAACAGCACAAACATAATCACAACAACTGCCTGGGGGTTCGTCAAGCTGTTCTGGAAGCCCTACCGAGGGGGAGCCAAGGCACAAGAAAAACGGCTCCCCCCACACCGCTGGCCGGGTGTGGGGCGGTATCTGCACGTCCCTCCGCAGCTCCTCTTTTTGGCCAACGTGCCAGTGCCGGCACGACAGCGGGGCAATGGGCTAACGTGCCCGCTGGGGAGGAGCTGCAGGGCCTTTGCGGGAATCTGCAAGGGGAGTGCAGGTGCCAAGGACGGGAGGCCGATCGTTTGGGTTGGGTGTTGCAGGGGGGAGGAAGGGGAACGGGGGGGCCCGCGCGCGCGCATCACAAATTTTGTGGGTGGCGTTGCGGGTGGCGTGGGTGGGATGGCAGGGCCAAAGCTGGACGATGGAGCGGAGCATCATGAACATGCGGAAAAAACGGACTGTGCTCACTTTTACCTGAAGCTTCGGAGCCTTTGTATCCGTAGACCATACAAGAATTTAGAGCAATGCTTGAAACCCCTTCCCAACAAAAATCGAACTTCCAACAAGCCCGGTTTGTAGGCTACCGGGTGCATCAAATGAAAACAAGCCCACTCCCAGGACTCTCCCGGCGATTGGAGCCATGCGAAGCTCGATGACATACGAAGTTTTTTGGTCTTGGAGGCAGTGAAAGGCTCTTGGAAGCCTTTGAATGGCATTCCACTTTAGGGACCAGGGTAATCTGGGTTTAGGGTGTAGTGCTAAAGAGGTTTATCCATGGTGGTATGCATAAATATCTATATATCTAATTATAACTATCTATCTACCTGTCTATCCTTCTATCTACACGTATATATATATATATGGGTAGATACGTATACGATAGATTTGCACATCTATAGATATGCACACTGGGGTTAGGTTAGCCTATAATGGATACACTTTGGTTATGTAGTTGTAATTAAGACTTGATCAGGTTAGCCTGCGGGGTTGGAAATGAGATAGAGTAAACTATATGTCAGTAGCTAGATAGACTGCTGTATACAGATATAGGATCGTTGACAATGTGTATATATGTACTATATACTATATATGTATGTGTGTCCGTGTCTATGTATTTCTATCATTGATGCCGGTATCTACATACAATGGTACACGGAACAGAATGACAGTATTTGTTCTAGTCGCCCGGGGCTTTCCTAGAATATACACAGGATAAGGGGTCCCAGGCTGCTAGCATGCTACGTGTCTTGAGACACGGGGCTGGAAATCTTAAACTGCATACGTGTCGTGATGCTTTATCGCTTCCGAGTCCCGAAGGGTCCAGGGGCAGCCGGAGCACAGTGCATCAGCAGCTGCAAAAGGCCATCCTGCTTGCTGGAAATCCGAGAAGATTCCCAAATCAAGAGCCCGCTGTTGCTTCACGAAAGCATTCAACCATCATAGCTGAAACAAAGTCGAGGTAATTGCTGAAGGCCTCCCAATGTCTAGTCCGACACATCGACGTGAACCATAAGCTGACCCCTGAATTCAACTAGGATGCCTCCCGGCCAAACAGAGGCAGCGTGAAGCAGCGTGAAGTTGCGTGAAAAATGAGCCCAAAGTACAACCTCACACCAGACTCGCGTGAAACAGCGTGAAACCGCGTGATTTGCGTGAAATCCT